TCTCTCAGCTTCCTGCAATATTAAGAATCTTATCTGCAGAATAAAACAGCTTAAAAAAATGAAAGGAATCGGCAGATATTACTGTTTTCCTTACCGGTGGTCTGAATCCGGGAATGTGGGAGATGTTAAGGAAAGGGTTGAATTTTAGAGTCAGACCGACATGAACTCAAATCTTCACTACCTACAAGCTATGTGACCCTGAGAAAGTTAGGTATCTTCACTGAACTTCTGTCTTCTCATCTGCAAGTCAGTCAATACCACTTCCTTCACAGGGCTGACATGAGGATAAAATGAGATAAAATATGAAAAGGCCTCCCATTGTGCTCAGCACACAGCTGAGCTCATTAACTTTTCTTTCTGCCTATAAAAAACATTACAAATACAATAAAAGTCATGTTTATCATTTCTGTCATCCCAGAAATCAAGGCATACAATGAAGCCACAGTACTTAAAACAGTGTGGCACTGTTTCGAGAACAGGCAGGTAGATCAATGGTATAGAATGGGAATCTAAAAGATTGTCTTATGCACAGGCAAAAATAAAATCGAGTTGAATTGAAGGCCCATATTTAGGAAAATAATTCTAATTTTATGCCAAGACAATGAAGGACAATAACAAGATGCTGGAGTTGAGGAGAGTTTCTTAAAATCAGTTATATGCAGCAAAAATAGAAAAAGAATGAAATTTGAAAATGAACAAAGGTAAAAGCTGACAATCTGGGAGGAAATAGTCACAGCTGTAAAATATTCAGATACAAAACAGACCAAGGATAAACATCTAAAGCTTTCAAATAATTCTTACATATCTATTTAAAAAGTCTAAAAGCCCAATGATATAGTTTATGGGATGCAAACAGGTAATTACAGAAGATGAAATCAGAATTGCCCTATGAAAAATGGATCTGCCTCATTAGTAATCAGAAAATATAAATTAAAATAGCAATGAATTACCGTTATGCTACCAGTTTGACAAAGATTAAAAAGTTTGATAATATCAAGTGTACACAAGCAAGGGCAGGGCTGGGGGTGGGGAGAGTAAAATTAAATGTAGCTGCTCATGACCTTGAAATTAGTACAATCAATTTGAAGGGCAAGATGGTGGTATCTATTAGATTACCCCACAATTTCTTTCTACATATCTATTCTGGATAAAGACTTGAACATACACACAAAAGATATAATGTAATATTGTTTGTAATATGAAAAAAATTTTTTAATACTTATCCACAGAGAAACAGATGAAAGCAATTCCATGAACACAAAGAATTACTATAAAATGTTCAAAGGAATCAAGTAGATTTCCACATATTAACATGAATCACTCACAAAAATAATGAGAAACCAGTATTTTATATTTCTTCCAATACATAGATATGTATGAAAATTATAAAGAATTTTGGAAAGTCTTTCATTAGACAAATTCATCAGAGTATGCTCTTAGCACTGTTTGGTGGGAGGACATCAATATGGAGACAGGAGATTTCAGGAGACTATAGCTTCTTCTATAATGGTCTAAAAGTTTTAAGTTACAACTGATTTATTGTTTGCATAAATTTAAAAATCAATACATAAAAATACTTTAAAAAGATGCAACTATCCCAAAAATGTTGACAGGGATTCATTTTGAGAAGGCAAGGAGAGAGTATGGATTATTGTTTCTTCTTTGAACATCCCTTATACCTTAAAAAAAATTTCCCAAAGAGGAAAATGATCACCATCTTTTATGAGTATCATTGTATAATGATACTCATAAAATCCCTGATAATGGCTCTAGACACCAAGCTAAACTGGTTTAGCAAAAACTGTTCTTGCCCAGTTTTGCAAGTACGATCTCATTTAACTCTGTGTTAACCCTGTGAAGTAGGTAGATACCTACTATTGATAGATAAGGAAACTGAGGCTCCAAGAAGCTAGGCAATTTGCCCAAGCTCATGCAACTACAAAGTCACAGAGCCAATAGTCCATCATATGTCTTTGAATACCAAAAATAATACTTCTCTCACCATATTAAAGTTACCTTAACACAAGTATTACATGTTTTTTTCACAAATTATAAAGTTGCTTCACTATGAAATGAATTTGAAATCTAGGGAAGAGATAAATAAAAACAAGTTCTAAAAATATGTAAACATTTTAAAGACATTTGTACATTTAAATATAGGAGTTAGATTAACCTATTTAGGAGAAGAATATTACTGATCCCCAATAAGGCTAGTGTATAGAAAAGCCATTTGCACAAAAAGGAAATATCCTTTGTTCAAACATAATATTCTTACACAGTGTGATAAAGCAGCATGGGATTCCACAGAACCAACTGTTAGCTAGAACTGTATTAGTAGGATTTCAACTTAAACTAGCCCAAGACAATGAGAATTTATTGCCTTACATAACTAGTTTCAGGAACATCTGCATCCAGGGGTTTCAAAGACATTATTAAATCTCAGTCTCTCTTTTTCTCTCCTTTTCTCTGTGCTGTCTTTATTTTTAAGTATGCTCTAGGCAAGTGGTAAATATATGTAACTTTCAAGTTCTCAAGTTTCCATGAATATACTTCTTGCAATCTCAAGAAAAAAAGAGACCCTCTTTCCCTCAATGTGAATCTCTGAGAAATAAGTTGGCCATACCACAGCAATCTCTGTATCTAGACCTGAATCTTTATTACCTCCCTTTAGCTCCAGGAATGATGGGGCTAAATCCCGAAGGGATTGAATTGGATTATTGTAGAATGGGTAAAGAGAGATTGAATTGGATTGTTGTAGAATGGGTAAAGAGAGGTGAACCAACCAAAGAGTTCTGGGCAAACAAAAAACATATGAATACAATATAGTCACTGCTTTGATGGTATTAGAGGTGTGTGGACACTGAAAAGCCAGCAAGCTAACCTACGGAAGAGGGGAGACATTCACAAACAGCTACCTCATAGGGTTCCCCTGAGGATAAACAATAGTTGGAGAGAAAATGTACCTAACACAGTTAGCAGATAGAAAGTGTCTTATATATTTGTTTACTAATTGATTAATCAAAGGTAGGTGCTTCCGAGTTACTTCTACCTTCTCATCCCAGAGACTTTATCAGTTACCAAGTCCAGTGGAATAATACAGCAATTCTATTGAATGTGAAATAGAATCGGGAGCCCATTTCCAGTCATCCTTTGTAAGTCTACTGAAAGCAGGGGGCTGTGTGACCTGGGAGTCTTCACAACCACAGTAACAAAAACCATAGTAACTAACGTTTATTGCACACCAACCATGTGCCAAGTGGTCTGCTAAGTGTATAACATGCATTTTCTCATGTAATCTTTGCTATAACTAATGAAGTAGGTATTATTATCATTTCCATTTTACAGATGAAGAAACAGATGTAGCGAGGCCAAGTAATTTGCCCAAGGTCAAGAGAGTGACAAGGCTTGGACTCCCACTTGGTTGTGTTTGACTAGAGAGCCTGAGCTCTTAACCATTCATTGTTCTGTCTCACACTGCCCTGCGCGGCCTCATAATACCCTGAGGAGAAGACTCAACATGAAATAGCATTTGGCTGCATTCCAATCAGTCAACACATTCATCACTAGATGCACAAAGAGAGAGGTAGGTTGGATTCCCTGTGAACAAAACAATTCAGGCATATACATGCACTGACCTCTAACTCAATTTGGAGATTTAGAATCTCCATCTTGAAGACTTCCCTAACATCTCAGCTGCTGTATTTAATGGGACCTTTTGTCGATGTGGTCAAGAGGAATCAAAGAGAATTTATCTTTTTAGTTTCTTTTCCTTTCATTTAAAAAATTATTTAACCATAGTGGTTCTGGAGTTATTTTTTGTTGGCAAAATTATGGAGCTGCGTACTGATTCAGAGACGTGTTGGGACACTGGGCACAGATGGCTTTAATTATTTGGGCAGCCATTGACAGATGTGACGGTCTAGGTTTCTGCTGCCTTGGACAGGTGTAAGCTATAGGATTGACCCAGAGGGAGTTGTGGAGAGCCAGAATTGGATAGAGCCCTGTGATGGCCCTTTATTTGGTCTTACTCCACCCCTACGTACATAGTTATCATATTTCTTTGCCTCAAGGCATGGTCAAGTCAGTCAAAACCATCAAACCAAGTTTGTGTGCAGAAAAGAAACTCTCAAAGAGAGAAATACACTGTTAGCAATTGGTCCCAAACTCTGCTCGATATTTTTACTCAGAAACCCTTCTTTTCATTAATCATGGTTTCATAATCAAAAGGATCTATGTATATATCCTTCCTTCTGGATCATAACAAGCATGTTCACTTCTCTGATTATAGTCCACACAAATAATTTCGAAGACCTGAATGTCAGCCTGTGAAAACCTTCGTAATTTTGTTCAGTGAATTTATTGAGTAAGTTATGAAGAATAGGAAGATAAAGTTGACATATTCCCTGCTTACTTAAGAAGCTATTGAACATTTAGGAGGGGGCTTCTGACCTTTGAGCTAACAGAATAAGAGACAGCACTTACTGTGTCAAGCCACTGTTCTAGGTTCTAGAGATGCAGTAGTGATCAAAATAGCCATTTTCCCCATGGAGCTTCCATTCTAACTGGGTATATGGATGATTAAAAACCCATTTCTTTCTCTCTCCATATATGTATATACATACATACACATATTGTGTGTACACATATATATGTATTACATGGGGTGGATTGTGGTATACTAACTTTTACAACAGATTATATCTAAGAAATTATGTCTAGCTGTGTATGTGAATTCAACAGGAACTCTGTAGAGGAAAAACTATTTAAGCAGGGCTGAATATAAGGGAGAGATCACCAAGTGGAAAAGTAGAAGAAAGTATTCTAGGTCCTCATAATTCTTCATTTGAAAAAGCAGAGTTCTGACTTAGTACCTATAATGGGTTGAAATGTGTCTCCCTAAATTCATGCGTGGAAAGCCCAACCCCCAATACCTCAGAATGTAAGCATATTTTGAAGTAAGATCTTTAAAGAAGGAATTGAATTAAAATGAGACCATTGGGAGCTTTGCGCAGTGGCAGTATCATAGTCATTGGGTTTATCCGAGGCACGATTATTGCTAATTGAAAATGAGACCACTGGGGAGGGACCTAATTCAATAGGACTGGTGTCCTTAGTAACAAACTATAGAAATGATCCCTGTGTCCTTAGAAGACGAAGAGGTGCCCTGGATACTTGACAGAGAAAGGGCCATGTGAGGACACAGTGACAATGGGGCCATCTGCAAGTCAGAGAGAGAGAGAGACAGCCCTCAGGAGAAACCATCAACCCTGCCAGCGCCCTGGATCTTGGACTGCCAGCCTCCAGAACTGTGAGAAAATAAGTAAATAAATCTGTTGCTTAAGCCCCTCAGTCTGTGTGTGTCATTTTGTTACAGCAGCCCCACTAAACTAATACAGCACCTGATGTTCAGATTGGAAGAACGGTGTATACCTAGTACACAGAAAGCTTTCAAATATCGACCAAATCAAAATGTCTGTGAGTTGCAGAGCTGACCCATACTGAACATTTAACATGTGTGACAATCTAATTTAATCCAGCAACACTATGATGTAGATATTATGATTTTTATTTTACTTATGAGGAAACTTATTTTACTTATGATTCTTATTTTACTTATGAGGGACTTGGCATGGTTCACTAAGGTACCCAGCGTCACGTGGCTGGTAAGTCAGCCTGTGTTTGAACCCATACATGTGTGATCTGACGGCACTTAGCTCCAGCACTCTGAGGAGCTGAAGGAGGAGAAGGAAGTCCAACTCATGGAGGGCCTTGGTTATAGCTACAGAAGCTGACTATTCAAGGAACCAAAAATGCACGTCAGTACCCAGAAAACCTGTTATGCAATTACCTGTATTTACTCAGACCAACTCTCAAGATAATCACAATCCATGCATACAACTCATCACCCAGTACCTCATGTAGGCACGGCCCTCCCAACCACTAATCTCCCTCTTGTATAACACACACACACACACACACACACACACACACACACACACTCACACTCACACACTCCCACTCACCCCAAACTCCTCAGACAATACAACTTTTTAAGAAGTCCTTTGAAGAATGCCTTAAAGGATTTGAATCAATAATCTCCTCAGATCTAAAACCGGAGCTCCCCAGTTTGCTTTTTAATGATATCTCCCAGCTTGGCAATCACAACCAGTTCTTACTGTTCGCTCCTACCTAGTCTACTCCATTCTTCCTTCAGCCCACAGAGCATGTTTTTTTTTTTTTTATTTTTCTTAAATAAAGAAACAGACATGGAATTAAGTCTCAGTGTCCCATGTGCTTCATTATCCTGGCTTGTTGGGAATGTGTTAAACATACAATGTGAGTTTTCATAAGTAGCAGAAAAGGATCAAAGGAACCTACTTTACCAAAGGTTTTTCTTCTCTCTCTCTCTCTCTCTCTCTCTTTTTTTTAAGTAAGGTTTGGGTGATTCAGATCACACTAGGTAGTTGAGCTGATAAGATATGGAAGGAGAGGTCTCCAGCAGTAGTTTTTATTTCAAGAAAAGAAAACTTTTTAAGTCATAAATGTTCTTAGGTGCCTTTTTTTTTTTCAGTTGAATTGCAAACCTGGAATTAGAAGACGTTTTGAAAAAATATGCTTGATGTTAACCCTAGGTAGTTATATAAATAGAGTGAATTGAATGAAGTTATATAGCCCAAAGATTAGACTTTGCTATGCTGCTGAGATTTTTACATACCAAAAACTTTAAAACTTTAAATGGACTACTTAAAATTAAACACACACACATACATCTCCCTTAATAACATTTTCATTTTGCTCTTCTGTAAAACTGTACAGTGTTTGTTCCTATGTGCAGTAAGCAAGAGACCTTGGATTGGGAGTATTTGAATAAATCACCCTGAGATGAGATATAATGTGAAATGTGACTTTCCTGGGGAAACAAACTTGCTTATTTGATCTTATCTTTGCAATACAGAGGGATCTTGTTTCTCAACTTTTGGATGTCCCTAAGCTATTTGGGTTTCTAAAGACAAGACCAAAATCCATTAAGATCTCAAACTGACTCAAGAGTACACATTTGTAATCATGATTCATAAGAATCTGGTTTATACAGGACTCTGAGACATTTTTCTCAGTAATACTTTTTAAAAAATGTTTTCAAAATCCAGTTTTGCTGAATAAAAATCTGTTTCTTCTGTTCTTTAATTTTGCAGCTACTATTGTGGTGTCACTACTATATGTCTATTCTTATGTTAACATCATACTGTCTTGATGGCTGTAGTTTTATAAGAAGTCTTGAGATCAGCTAGTGTAAGCCCTCCAACTTCTTTCAAATTGCTTTGGCTATTCTGTTTTCTGCATTTCCATGTAAATTTTAAGTCAATCATAGAACTAATTTGTTTTTTTTTTTTTTAAGTCTGCCAGGATTTTGATTGGGATTTCATTGACTCTACTGACCAACTTTGAGAAATTCACATAATAATAATAATATTGAATCTTCTGATACCAAGATGGTAGATCTCTCCTTGATTTTGTTATTTAATTGATCTCGGCAATGTTTTGTAGGTCTCAGTATATAGATCTTTCTTTTTTTAGAGATTTATTTATTTTAGAGAGAGAGAGCAGCCGCGTGCAATCACGAGCGGGGAAGGAGCGCAGGGAGAGAATCTTTAAGCAGACTTCCCACTGAGCATGGAGCCTGATGATGCGGGGCTTGATCCCATGACCCATGAGATCATGACCTGAGCCAAAACCAAGAGTCTCCCACCTAACTGACTGAGCCACCCAGGCTCCCCTCAGTATATAGATTTTGAACATATTTGTTAATTTTATCTGTAAGTATTTCATATATAAAATCAATTTTAATTGCTATATAATATTCCACTGAGCTAAAGGGCTATTATTACTCAACCATTCTACCTAATGTTGACTATACAGGTGATTTACAGTTTTTATTCTAATATAAGTAACATGGTGATAAACATTTGTGCATAAATCACTTTTTGTATTTAAAATTAGTTTCTTTATATAAATTTCCAGAAGAGAAGTTACTGGGTCAAAGGCCGTGCACACTTTTCAGGTTCTTGATACATACTGAGTAAATTTTTTCTTAAAGATGAATTACAAACATCTTTTTCAGATATTCTACTTTTTTCTCTTTTGTGGCCTAGGCAAACAGTCATTATTATATAATCTCCAAGAAACACAGAAAAAGGAAAAAAGATTTTTAAATCCCTTATGAAGAGAAATAGAACACATCAATTTTTCTATCACCTTGCTCTACAGTTGAATATAAGATCAAGCCAAGCTGTTACAGATGATGCCTTGGTTTTGGTTGGATTATTTCTAGTAAGTAACTCTTCCTGGGCCTCATCTATAGAATAAGATTGTTGGATGTATCAGTGCTTTTCAAACAGTGCTCTGAACAACCTCAGAGTTATGGAGGGGAAAGCTTTGTGATGAGCATCTGAGCTGACCAGCTCTGGGCTTCCTTGCATCTCTCCATGTAGAGAAACTCCTTTTGTCAGTTTTGCATAATGTGATTCTTTTTCAGATTTGTTTTAAAAATAGGAATCCAGTAATAAAAACAATTGGGAAAACCACTGACCTAGAGGGACTCTAATGTATTTTTCAGTGAACCATTTTATTTGAAGCTACACCATCTTCTAGCAGACTTGTCTACATATGAAGCCCTGGGGAAGCTAGGCAGCCATGACACCAAACATGTCACAAAACACCCTTAGTTCACAGGACACAACTAGTTCTGGACCAGTCTCAAAAGAGACTGGAATCAAAATTCAGATGCAAATGGAGATTTCTGGGTACCTACTAACATAGGGCAGGTGCCCTGACTGCATTCTAACATACATTCTCTTATCAAATCCTCAAAAGAGAGGCATGTGAGTACCACCATTTTGAAAATGAGAAAAGGAGGGCTCAGCTTAGTGAGTCCTAGACTTGAGACTTGAACTCAAGTCACCGGACCCTTTAGTCACACCCCACAAGTATCCCAGAGCCTGGTTTGAGATTGGGCAACAGACATACGTTATTAAATAGGTCAAGGAATAAGAACAGGTGAGACGCTCAGAGATTCACAGGAAGAACCCAGGACTAGAACATGCTTTCATGTCTACTTGAAAATCAAAACCAAAGCAGACAATTTGAAATCCAACCCCACTCTTTATTAGCTTATGATCTTGATCTTGGAACAATCCCTTAACTTCTCTGTTTCCTTTTACATAAAATGAGAGCAGTATTACTTCATAGGGTTTCTGAGAGGATTAAATGAGATGATGAATATGAAAATGCCTAGCTCAAAGTCGGCACATAGAGGGTGCTCATACCCAAAGTGCCACATAGACCACAGACACATCTTCAGCTACGGCAGTTTTGAATCAGGCCCTCAAAAGGCAGAGGAGAAGACAAAAGAGTGAGGGCCAGGAAAATCAGATTATTATTGTTTCTAGGCAACCACAGAAAAGGAATAATACAAGGGGCATTTCTCATAAGAGTACTACACTGGCTACCTCACAAAAAGACTCCCTTGTCCGGTTTTAAAAGTAGGATACAACTATCAACGACCACAGAGAACCTTTTAATAATTCAAAATTATTCAAAATTCTTCCCAACACCCCCTCCTCTTTCCCTTCTTTCCTCCCTCCCTCCTTCCCCCAATTCTCAAAGTACCCAGGGAGGAAGATAAGAGATGTTTTCATTCCAGTGTTATAAATGATCAAACTGAGGGACAGAGGAAGCTGAGAAAAGGAAGCACAGTTATCCACCTTAAAATCAAAGCCCCTTGGGCTGTAACCTCCTTGAGGCCAGCGTCTATACCTTGTTTTCTTATATATCTTTCCAAAAGGTTCTCAAAAATAAGTGCTGAGTGAGGTGCATTAGTCTGAAGTCTGCTCATTCAGGAGGCTCATTTTGTTCAAAGCAGACTCTCAGATTAAATTTCAAGGTCCCAGGTGCTATGGAAAGCTTCTTCAGTTGATACATTTCCATTTAGGAAAAACTTATTTTAAATGTCTTTGTACATTGTCATGTTCCACTGCTAATCCATTCTTTCTTTTCTTTCTAATTTTTGAATAATGCATGCACTTTTTTTTTTAGAGACAACATAGGGGAAAAAAAACACTAACTGAGGATAAATTTTCATTTTGA